ATATATATATATATATATATATATATATATAACTGTAACCCTCAACTCTGGCTTACTCAACCACCCCACCCCCTAACTCTTCTCTGAAAGAAGCCTCAGATATGGAAGTTCATCAGGAGGATGTTATGATCATGGAGGAAATGAAAATGCACATCAAGGGAAAACGCTCCAAACGTCCAAGACCCTCATCGGCGCTTACTTTAACCATAGCCTCCACCTCCTCCTCCTCCTCCACCACCACCACCACCACTGACGGTGCTCCACCCACAAACTCCAATATCGACTTCACCACCATCCTTCAAGACAACCACGATAACAACGATGAGTATGTGGCCAATTGCCTGATACTTTTGGCTCACGGCCAATATCTACCACCATCAGACACTCGATTATATGTTTATGAATGTAAAACATGTAGCCGTGGTTTCACTTCTTTTCAAGCCCTTGGTGGTCACAGAGCCAGCCACAAGAAACCCCACAAGGACGTCCGTGAGATTTCAAAAAATAGAACATCTCTTTGGATCTGTCCAAACAAACCCTTATCATGTAACCCTAGTGGTTCCACCAAAGGTCCCAAGGTTCACGAATGTTCAATTTGTGGTTCTCATTTTACATCTGGTCAAGCATTAGGTGGTCACATGAGGCGACATAGGTCCGTTATGCCAACGACTACGTATACGTCGACTACAACAACTTGTACCACGTCCGATGAGCATCACAAGTCGAAGAAACACAAAACGCTACTGCCGTTGGATCTAAATCTTCCGGCCCCTATCGAGGATGATCACAACGAAACCAAATCTCCGTTTGGATTAAACAACCAAATCATCGTCTTTTCGACACCTTCTTTAGTTGACTGTCATTTCTAATCATGCGATTAGGGTTTGATAACATCATTAGATTTCTTTCAGATTCTTTTAACTCATTCATATGATTCATCATAACACTAGATTATTTGACAAGGTGGCAAACTAGAATTCATGAATTGTCTTTGTTTATCATGTTTTTATATATGCTATGATTATTTTTAATCAACTGTTAATTTTTAATTAATTTCTATTATCTAATCTGATTGAAATTAGACGAAAATAATGGTAGTTGATATAATTACGAGAGTGTTTATATGTGATTGATTATTAAATCTAATTTGCAACTCAAAAACCTATCTATACTATATTATAAAGCATTTGATAGAAAGTTTTTTAAAAAAAAATTATGCATGAAGTACTGTTTATTGATGTATATTACTTAAAATTCAAGATTACAAGTAATTTTGAATAAGTACTACTTATTAAAGCTCCATTTTGAAATTCATGTAACTAACTGCAGATAAATATAATCAAATACAAGATAAACATCTATTTTAAATATAGAAAATCTAAAAT